GAGGGTTGCAATCCCGTTGCCGGTCCCCGGTACGGGGGCAACACTGAGGGTTGCGATCTGTTGCCGGACACGGAAAAAGACAAAAGACAAAAAAAACAAAAAAACAAAAAAAAACTTCCAACTCCCAACAGCTAGGAAAGGGAAGGGTTAATGCTTTATTGAGCCTACCATGCTGATTTGAGCAATACAGAGACCGTTGAACATGTTAAATATTTTATTCACATTGTTTACAAAGTATATCCACCTGGAAAACACATAAATCCAAAAATAGATTATTTTACAGTAATTCACATTTTTAAAAACAAGTTACTTTTGAAGTTAAGCTCTAAGCGTGGAAGTCTTCAGCCTGTATTGTGGTTCAGTGCCTCATCACTTGCTGATTCCTGCTCTGATATGAAGTCCTAGGGGCCGGCCACCTAACTGTACATCGCTAATAACTTACATACTGATGACTGATGAGAAAACATCAGTGCAGATTCTAACCCGTGAACATTTATTGGTGTAAATTCACTGTTGCTGCTTTTTTTATTAAGGAAATATGTGTTTTAGGGCTTGAGCGCACATCAGGTAGGAAGACATAATGAGAGACTCAATTTAATTGGCCATTACGGAGTTGTTGGGACATTTCCAGTTCTATAAATGTTTAATGTCTTGACCACAGACGGAATAAGTGAATCAGGATTTTATCGTGTTGACAATTTGAATCATAGAAACAGCAGTGATTTGGAAATTTATGGAAGTGTCTGTTGACCAGTAACTCTTTGCATATCTGATGTCAGCCACCAGTTAGTAGAAGAGGGGAAATAAACTCAGCAACAATTAATAATGTAGCTAATTTTAAGGGTTTAACTCCAGAAGGATGGCACAGGAGTTTTGCTGAGCGGTCAGAAAGATGCTATGGTTAAGAAATGTACTATTAGCCTATGCTAAATTCAGTTCTATCTCATGATGGCTTATCTCTTTTATTAATTAAGAAACTTTTCTATGGAATTTAACTTTAATGATTTAAAATCTAAAGCATGTATATCTTACATCTTACTCTCTTCTGCTATAAGTTACAAACTAATCACATTTTATTTTATTTTCTTTGTGAGCTGCCACGGTTAACCATCTAACAACTTTTGAACCTTAGAAATGGGAGTATTGGATGTGTCCCTAATGGCAGAATTGGACCCTTGTTCTCTGAGCAATACCAACTGGCATTGGTGTTGTGGTTCTGCAACTCTTGATTAGGGGAACAATGTTTGATCAAGGTACCACAAAAGATTATTCCCTCCTCTCCTTGGGGTGAGGAGAAGGGTTTCTTAAGGGTTGCTGCCATCACCCCAAGTAGACAACAACTCTGAAACCCAATGTAAGTTGAGATGTGGAGAAATTTTATCAGCACGTTTACAGGTTTAAAAAAAAAACAAAAAACAATAAAAGCCCAAAATGACTTTCAAATGTCTATTGCAATCTGATTGTTTAAAAAGAGAAATCCATAAAATGAGCTCGATGCCTGGAGCAGGTCATAGCTTGTCTTCCTGCCACCCATGTGCATTTTTTCCAAATTTGTACACTAGCCTTCGGTCAACCCGCTCCAGAATTCCTGTTTTATAGTAGTATCTGTGAAAGCAAACAGAAGAGAAATCGGGGAGGGTTTGCACCCTAGGAAAACAACAGAACTTAAACACTCTCTCCTTCTTCCTCTCAGGTGACAAGGCGGGTCTTTGGTTACCCTGGTATTTTCACACCCTGCTATCAATTTACACTTAAACCTTTCCCAGACATCCTGAAGATTGAACCCTACCATTCTCAGTTCAAAACGTGTTTTGTGTACATGTGCGAGATGGCCTGGATTCAGAGTGATCCCTGGGGAATACTGCCAAGAATGAAAAGGACAGTGTCAATTTACAAACCATAATCCTACCTGTAATTAAGAGCCAAAGTGCTATCTCATGACCTTTCCATTATCAAATAAAAAGCTGCAAAAACAGTGTAATTTTCTATAGCTGGTCATTTTATATAACTCTTCTTGAAGGCTCATGGTACTTTCTGTTATTAACTTACCTCAGAGCTCTGCTCAACTTTTCATATGTCATTCTGTCATTTTTCTTCCTTTGTCCCCACATCTTCGCCAGGGCTTCTGATTTAACCACCCGAAAAATTCCTTGTTCCCTATCTTCCCATTCCAGAATGCCACAGTTTTCTTCAGGAGATAGAAGCAGGTCTCGCACAAATTCCCATAGATGAGAACTTTGGAGGCCTTTTGAGAAGGGGAAAAAAGTTAGCTACTTAAAAATATATATATTTTTAATCTTAAGAGGAGAGTTGTACAACTTCTCATTAACCCACGAGAATTACTGCTTCCAGGGGTATTTCCCATAGTTATGACTGAGTGTTGTACTTGGAACCTTACCAAGCTGTGAAATGTCTGTCTTCCATTAAAGCAATTGCAAACACACAGACAGAGACACCAAATTTACATTGACTGTCAACACTGTGGCTCACGGACACTCTTTACTCTGTGGGACGATGGATTAATTCTTATGAAATGAATGAGATGACAGTCAAATTATCTTTTCATTCTTCTTTCTGGCAGGTAGTATGGTTGTACTAAGATCCCATAGCCACAACTGTCTGGGTAGATCAATCCCACAATTTTGTTTTTCATGAAGATCTGGTCTTTCTCTTGTTCCATTAGTGGTCAAGACCGGCTCTGGAATCTGCTTGGGTTTGGGTCCTGAATTCACCTCTTCCTACCTCTGTAACCATAACCTCTACAGTTGCCTTATTTGTAAAATGGGATACTAAGAGTAACTATCTCATGGGATAGGGTAGAGGATTTAATGACTTAGTACATATCAAGTGATTAGAACCATATGTAGCATGTAATGATCACTTTCTACACAACGATTTGTGAAACCGAAGGCTGGACTCTGTGCTGGGCAGACCGCCTAGTGCTGGGAAAGGCTAACAGAATTGCCAGCTCCTGGGTTTTCTTTTCTTTCCTTCCCTGAGTACTTCAGTGAGAAAGACCCACGGTGGACCAGGAAAAATAAACTCTTATTCAGAAATACAACATGGTTAGAAAATTTACTTCTTCACTTTTAATTCTTATAATGCCATTTCCAAGTGAGAAGAAATAAATCTGATTTTGATAACATGTGTGACAGCAATCATACATGTTATCACTTCTTTACTACCTTTCTTGGGACATAACTGGTCCCACTCAAACCTTTAGCTTCGAAACTTATTAATGCAGATCATGTTGTCTCAGGAATGGATTTAAGAAATCAGAAGTGAAAAATGGCGTCTCCGCACTTACTTGTTCGACTATGACTGTGACAGTCTTGACTCTTGATGCCACTTGTTTTCAAGCAATTGGAATCAGCATCTGCAATAGAAGGATTTATAGCAGTGGGAAGGAATGCAGTGGTCACGTTTAGACTTCAAAGCACACCAAAATGAGCAAGCATCAGTTAAATGCCTTTGAGGTAGAAGACACCATGTTAGGCACGTTGGGGGTGATTAGTGCATGGGAGTTGCAAAGATATCAAAGCCGTAGTATGTGCTTTTAAGGAGTGTTGGTTGTTTGTATTTAGCCCTGGGGACCTACTGTGTGCCAGGTGCTGGACTTGGTGCTGGGGATACAAGAACGAATGTGACAGACGTGCTCCCTGCTCAGGTGGAATTGAAGCACAATGCAAGTGGCACGAACACATCGCTCATTGGTTTAAGTGTCACAAAGAAGCAAGACATTAGATAGAGAAAGGGTGGGGGAAGTACGTACTTTAGAAAGGGTGGCTAGGGAGGGCCCCACAAAGAGGAAACATTTATGCTAAGAGACAAAGATCAGAAGGAACCAGTGTGGGGAGGTGGAGAAGAGCATTGCAGGCGAGGTAGCAGCGTGTGTAAAGCCAGGTGTGGAGAGAGTCCCAAGAAGCAGGTGTGCAGGTGCCCGGGCCAGGGTTCTGGGGAAGTGGGTGGCCTTCTTTGGAGGCCGCAGTGAGAACTGGGGACTCTATATCAAGGTGTGAAGTCAAGATCCACGTTAAGAAGATCCTTCCGGCTGCTGTGCAGAGAACAGACCAGAAGGGACCCAAGTAACAGCAAAGAGACTTGAGCTTCTGGATAGTAGAAAGCAAGGTATTAAGCCAATACTGCGAAAAATTGTAACTTGCTCTGTAAGTGTCAATCTGAGACAGCTGGACAAGCATTGTCCCAAAGCAGTGCATGATTTTTAAAAAGGTGGTGCTGGATCTGTCCCCTCCTGCCCACATTAAACCTCTGCCTCTTAGGGGCCGACCTATGGCTCACTCGGGAGAGTGAGGTGCTGATAATACCAAGGCCATGGGTTCGGATCCTGTATAGGGATGGCCAGTTTGCTCACTGACTGAGCGTGGTGCTGACAACACCAAGCCAAGGGTTGAGATCCCCTTACCGGTCATCTTTTTAAAAAAAACCAAAAAAAAAAAAAAAAAAACCCAGAAAAAACCTCTGCCAAGATCTTCTCTTAGTGTTGGAGCGAACAGGACTGAAGCCATGTTGGAACCTAAAACCACCTGGGCTGAGGGGCAGGAAGCGGGCAGGATTTTAAAATGCAGTTTTTTTTTCTCTCCACTCTTTCTTTCCACCTCTTGACTTTCTTATCTTGTTTGCTAAATAAGAGAACAAGGCTGAGAAGCTAATCAGTACTTAGCAAAGCTAACAGTTCTTTCTTTGAGACTTGTAGAGTTGTGAGAAGTGATCAAGGCTGAATGACTGGAAGCTGACCCCAGGCACCAGCCAAGTCAACCAGAGCTCTGCAGAGCAAAACCACACAAAAGACGTTGCAGAAGAATTGATTCTACTCTGCAGCACATCAAAATCCTGTAGGGTCCTGAGATGAAGGTGAGGATGAGAACAGAAACCAGATGAGGCTTTGGCAAGAACTTATACCTGACTCACAGACACGCACCCTCATAGCTCACATCTCCTTCCCTCCTGCTTTTCACTCCCCATGTTCTGTTCCCTCAACCCCCTCTTTAAAAACCTCTCAGTAAACCTGAGTCTGGGAGACAACTTTAGCCTGGCCCCTTTCCTTCAGGTTTACCGGAGAGGTGGGTTTGCCTAACATCTCTCCTCAGGTCACTGGCATTCCTGAATAAAAGCTGACTTCTGTTTTCACCATTTGACTTTTGATTAGTTTGCTTTTGTCTGGAGACAGGCAGCTGGGCCTGGGAGTTCCATATCAATTACGCGGAGCCTAATGTTTCCCATAACATTAGTCCCTGGCTTGCCTTCTCCAGCCACACCGGCCCCTGGGCTCTTTCTGAAACAGGCAGGCACATTCCACCCCTGGGGCTTTGCCCTCGCTTGTCCCTCTGCCCAGAATGTTCTGCCCTTGTATATCTGTGGGTTCACGCCCTCATCTCCATCCTGTCTCAAAATCACCTTCCGGTGAGGCCTTCTCTGACCACCAGGGTTGGAATCGCACACACTGGCCTCTTCCACGTCCACCTCCCTTACTTTATTTATCACCTTCCAGCACGTTACATGATGTATTTATTTACATAGTTCCCTGTCTGTCTGTGCCCACTAGAGGGCAGGATTTGTGTCTCCAGATGCATCCCCAGCACCTGGCACAGTGCTGGGCATAGAGCAGATGCTCAATAGGTATCACTGAGCAGCCGCTATACTGCCTACACCTACTGTATAGTCTAGTATACCATAACTACTCAATGAAGGACTACATATGCTGTCAGGGAAGGAATGGCATCCTGTGCATCACATGGTCGCCCAGGGTGACCTGTCTCAGTGCCATTGGATCATGTCACTCCCTGGCTGATCATCGTGCAGCGGTTCCCTGTTGTGTCCAGCAGGAAGGCTGCCATGGGAGTCAGGCCTTTCAGAAACTCATCCCCACCCAAATCTCCAACCTTATCTCTTTCCGCTCTTCAATTTCTTTCCTTCTCTTGGGTCAGATGGTCACAATGGGGCTAACCTTTCCCCTGCCTCAGGACTTTTGCACAGGCTCCCTGCCTCCCACTTCTATCTGGCTGACTCCCGCTCTCACAAGACCTCTTCAGGAGCCTTCTCTGAACTTGTCCTCTGGGCTAGACCCTTCCTGAGTCCCACAGCCATCTGCGTGTTCCTCCGTATCATAGCACTGGTCCTGTGCTACAGTAAAAATCCATCTTGACTCTTTTTCTCTTCTCCTAACAGCTGATGTTTACAGAGTACTTACTAAATGCCAAGTGTTTGTTAACTGCTTCACATACAGTATATCATTTAATCCTTACAACAACCCTGTGTGATATTATTGTGATTTTCATTTTATTGAGGAGGAATTTCAAGCCCAGAGAGTTTAAGGATTTTATCCAGATAGTGGAGCCAGGACTTGGACCCAGAGAGTACACATTTCAAAGCTAATGTTCACAGTGACTACTTTATCCTGTCTTTCATAGCAGGAGTTTGATCGACACTTAGTGACTAATTATTAGCTCAGATTTGCTGAGTGTTTGCTCTATAGATGTGCCCTATAATGCACATCTATTACTACGCCCAGACCTAGCCACTGTTTGGATTTAATCTTTTAGGAAGAGAGAACACAAATGGAGTCATAAAAATAAACAAAGGTGAATTATTAATCATGAATAGGCAATAAGCTTTCACTGAAATGCCAAAATGGCAGGAAGTGGGAGAAAAAAATTACCCTTTTAATTTTTATGATTTTTCCTCTGTGTTTCGGATGAAAGATATTTGCCTGATGGGATGAATGCAGTACAGGTCAGCATGAGGTAGGGTTTTGGGGATGGCTGGTCTTGCCAGGCACAATCCTGTTCTGTCTGTTCCTAGTTCTTCAGTGGTGGCTTCAAATGTATTCATGGGTTGACCAGATTCATGGCCTCGCTTGGCTGGCGGTGGCCGCCATGGCAGGGGTGGCGGCAGAGGGGCTGAAGTCATTACTGCGATGTCAATGTTGAGGCAGTTTCCCAAATCAAAACCTTCACAAAATCAGCTGGTGGGTCTTTAGCAGCACCTCAAACCCACTACATTCCTCTGCAAATGCCAGTGGTGTTTCAGGGTGCAGCTCCCTGCCTCACCCCTGTCTTCATTGTGAATGTGTCTCTGCAGCTGAGCTGTGCCTAGTGTGGATGCGTGAAGGCAGGGCCCAGGCTCTCTGCTGTCTGTGAGATTTGGAGAGGTTTGGTTGGCCTTGAGACTGGACACTTTAAAAATCAGGCCAAAGTATATAGTCTCAATCACTGATTAAAATCATAGTCAACCGTCCTCCAGAGGCTGGGATTAGGAAACCCCAGGTGGCAGGGTTTCCAAAACAAGCTCATCACATACCCATGACACGAGCAGTCCAGCCACAGAGCCCACACCCCATGCCAAGATAGTGCAGAGAAGCTCTGAGGCTCTGGAGCAAGGAGGTGCCCTGCTGAGAATATGGACTCTGGGTGTTGTTCTTGGGCTTGCTGTGTCCTCCACTGGCATTTGCAGTGGAGACGGGAGGGAGGGAGGCAGGTGGAGACAAGAGACCAAGTGGGGAACGCTGGGTTGCTTCACTCTGGCCAGCTCTGATGGTCTCATCGCTTGTGGGCCTGGGCACCTTCAGTGGGCACTAAGTTGAAAATCATCCTCTTGTCGGCAGTATTGTCCAGCTGGACCCAGACCTAGAGGAGTCCCTGGACCTTGGGTCTCAACTGAGTGAAATGCAGAGTGAATAGGAGGGCCTGGGAGCATGGGTGCACGTGCATGCGCGTGTGTGCATGTGTAACACAATGTATAAGAGCGTAGGCTTTGAGAAAATGAGTTGGAATCCCAGCTCTGCATTTAATCACGTTACTACACCTCTGGTTTCCTCACTTACAAGTGCAGATAACAGCACTACTTAATGGAGTCATGATGAGGATTAAATGAAATAGTGTATATAGAACACTGGGCATGATGGCACCATACCTGGCACATAGTAAGTGCTTAAGCAATGGTAATGATAGCTATTCACCCTCATTGAAGACCCAGTGGAAACACTGCCAGAGGCCCCAGGGTGCCACTTTGTCCTCACTGGCCAGGCCTTGCCTCTGGATGGCTCATCAGCATTGAAAGGCGGATTCTCATTTCTGGGTTGGGGGTATCTGAAAACATGAAACATCACAGGGACCATAGGCACTGTGACCATATGTCTTGGATTTTCTAGAATGGGCTAATTGGATAATCTACCAGTGTGTTGTCCTTATACCTACTCTTGTGCCCGTCAAACTATACATTAGGGTTTCTGTTTGGGAGAAGTGTGGTCATCCAGGCTGTGGAAGAGCCAGAGAAGGGCCCAGGGGAAGGCTGTGGTGTCCTGGCTGTGGCAGCAGAGGCTGGAATATGGCAGAGCCTGTGGGGCTGGTGTTCAGGTGGACTCACCAGACTCCTTAACCCTGAGTTCATTCTAGAAGGTGTGCCCCTCTCAATTGGGGCAGACTGGGCAGAGCCCAAGGCAGCCACCGTCCCACTCTGTGAGTGCGTGCTCCAGAGATGCCAGCCCAGAACCTCGCCCACCACTTCTGCCTCTGGAAACGTCCCTGCATCTCTTCCACATTGCTGGTCTGGGCCACCATCATCACCGTCCTGGGCAGTAGCCTCCTTAGCTAGACTCCTTTCTGATCCACACACAGCAACCTGAGAGATCTTCTTAAAATGCAAATGAGGGGGCCGGCCCGTGGCTCACTCGGGAGAGTGCGGTGCTGATAACACCACGGCCGTGGGTTCGGATCCCATATAGGGATGGCCGGTTAGCTCACTGGGGAGAGCGTGGTGCTGACAAAGGGCCGGCCCGTGGCTCACTCGGGAGAGTGCGGTGCTGATAACACCACGGCCGCGGGTTCGGATCCCATATAGGGATGGCCGATTAGCTCACTGGGGAGAGCGTGGTGCTGACAACACCAAGTCAAGGGTTAAGATCCCCTTACCGGTCATCTTTAAAAAAAAAAAATGCAGATGGGATCTCGTCATTTCCATGCTTACAACCCGTCAGTGGCTTCTCAGCCTGCTCGGGATGAAATACAAGCTCTGCTGCCTGTAAATCTGCCCTGCCTTGGCCTCAGCTCCTGCCCCTCCTGCTGGTGTGCAGATGGGATCTCGTCATTTCCATGCTTACAACCCGTCAGTGGCTTCTCCGCCTGCTCGGGATGAAATCCAAGCTCTGCTGCCTGTAAATCTGCCCTGCCTTGGCCTCAGCTCCTGCCCCTCCTGCTGGTGCTGCCGACGCTCTACCAGTGCTGTCCGAGAGAACTTTCCGTGATGGGGAAATCTGAGCAGTCCAGTATGGCAGCCTCTGACCACCGGTGGCTACTGCGCACTTGAACTGTGGCTAGTGTGACTGAGGGGCTGAATTTGAATATTATTTAATTTTAATCAGTTTAAACGGCCACAGGTGGCTAGCGGCTGCTGTATTGGATAACCTAACGCTAGACCCTCTGGCCTCTCTTGGTTCTTTCTCAAAGACTCCCAGATAGTTCCCGCCTCTGTGCTTGCCATGCACTCCCTGTAACCTTTTCTTCCCTCGTTTCCTGGCTCACTTTTGCTCATCCTTTAGGCTTCATTTAAATATGTCCTCCTCCAAGTCTTCCCTGGTCCTCAGTTTAAGTGTGATCTTTCTTCCATTACACACCAAGCACCCTGCCCTTTCCCTTTATAATGTCACCATGACCAACAATTACATATTTATTATTGGGATTGTCTGTTTAACATTTCTGTCCCTCCCTTGCTCCAGTGAGGGCAAGACCTAAGTTGTGTTCCTCGCTGCAGCCACAGGGCCGAGCTCTGGGCCCGGCTCATAGTAGGTGTTCAATAAACGTTTCTTGACTAAATGAATCAATGAATGAATTAAAAGGGAAAGAAAGAAATGAATGAATGAGGGCATCAAAGGCGTTAAGGGCTTTGGATTTAGACACACCTGGGTCATCCGCCGCCTTCTAATATGTCACTTTTAACCTCTAAACTTTATTTCCCACCCCTATAAAAAGGCTATGGTACTAGTACTTGTCTCATAGGGTAGCTGGGAAGATTACCTGAGATAATGTCTATAAAGATTTTAGCACAGGGCCTGGCTCATAGTAAGTACTCAGTAAATGTGAACTGTGATTCTCATCTTTGTCATCGCTGTCATCATCGTCATCATCACCATCACAGTGAATCAAACTGTGGCTGGTCAGTCATACATTCAGGTAACATCTACTCCTAAAGAACTTATGGGGCAGACCACCGCTTCCTAGCTCATTGTCTACCTTTTGCTGAGAGGGAGGAAGGCTGGTAAGGGATCCCCATTTATAGGTGGAGACACCGACACCTGGAAATAGGGCCGGTCAGGGCAAGCTAGCTGCGGCTTAAAAGAGTAAACGCCTGCCTGGGGCTCCAGCCTTTGGACTCAGACACAGTGATGGCTCCTGGGCAGGGGGGAGGCTCCTTTCTTCAAGGGGCTTTGCCGGGGTTGGACTGGGTAGTGAAAGCTGGGATTTATAACCCCTAGGCTGCTGTGGATGGGTCAGAAGGGGTTCCACCAGAGCTAGGAAACAGTGCGAAAATTTTGTTTTTAGGCAGGCAGAGATGCTACCCCTGTGGACCCTGAATGCAGGAAATTTGCAGAACACAGAACTGCTCATGCTTGGGCAGCTGGGATCCATGGGGCAGGGCAGGGCAGGGCAGGGCAGGGCATGTCTGCTTAAGACCACAGCATGCAGCTCATGGACCTGCTTTTCCTGTGCTAAAGTTCCCCAAATGAAATAAAATATCCAAAAACCTTCTTTAACCAGGAACTGCACAACCTGAACCCTCAGTTGATTGTTGGGGACTTTAAGGAGAGAAAAAATAAACCATAACAACGTGTCCCTCTGTGTCTGCCCCTCCACTTGCACCTCTCCGAGGCCTTGGAAGCCACCCTGTGCTCTGCCCTCTCTTTGCAGAGGACTGAGCAGAAGTTCATGATTGAGCAGAGGTTCATGGAGGAAAGGGCCTGCCCAGGACCATATCTCCTCCTGGCTCTGGGGCCGGGACCTTTGCATGAGACTTAACAACTACTAGCACAATAATCATCATCATTTAAAAGTGAAAGCTCTATAGTTCCCTTTCCTAAACTTTCTCCATCTGCAAAAGTGAAACAGGAAGGGCTGATCTCCAGAATCGACAAGGCCACTTGAGATTCTCCATCATCTTATAATTATAAACTCGACCTACTTAGGAAACTCAGATTTTTCATAAACATTATTGATCACAAGGCCTCTAATGGTTAGTGATTATTATTATTATGGCTACTGGTACCAGTTTTTGGAGCATCTACACTGCTTGCACACACCAGGCATATTGTGTGCATTGTTTTTCAAACTCACCACAACCCAGCAAGGGTCACACCATTTTCTAGATAGGGAAAGAGAATCTTGGGGAGGATAGCTAATCCACAGACCCAAGCTGTGGTCCCAGAGTCTCACACCCACGCTCTTTCCACCACACTTCTCGCCACCGTCTTCTGGAAGTCTGTGATTGTTTCAGTGCATCAACCTTTTAGTGTGGTCCTAAAAGAATGATCAAGCCCATGCACCCAACAACAGCCCTCACATAGCCATGGACTGCTTGAGCTTGGTTACTTACAGTCTTTGATGGTGGCCTTCGTCTCTTCAGTGTCATTGAAAAAGGAGTAGCCTGGGAAAGAAAAAGAAACCCACAGACCACAGCATGAAACCCTGGCTTCCACTGGCCAGGTCAGGAGAGGAGGGGTTACGGGAGCAAGAGTGCCTGTCCCCTCTGAGGGGTGGTTTTATTTTAGAAGGAACCTTGGAGACCATCTGGCCCTTATGGAGTCACCCTGAAGCCCCCCTGAGTGGTCTCTTTTTCTTTAAACTTGGAAAGAGCACCTGGGGCCAGGTATCCCAGCAGTGTGGGTCTTCTGAGTGGGCCCTGGGGAGTGAGGCCTGGTCTGGGGGCAGCGGGCTGGGCTCTGCACTGGGCTGGACCACTGACCCCTGTGTGGCCTCACCCAGTCACTCAGTTTCTGGGCTCACTGGTTTCTCTGACGGGCAACATGAGACAAAATGCGTCTCATCCCTCGGAGATCTAAATGGCTGTTGTGTGCCAGTAGAAGGGGAGAACGGGCACAAGAGGCTGTGAGAAGCGCGAGCCCTCTGTGGACGCCGAGAACGTGAGGATTTAGACGACTGGTCAGGGCCTCGGTTCCTCCTCTGTAGAACGGGGTGGGCTGGGGTTGAATTAGGAGTTTCAGATCATGTTTCTAGGTAGTAGTACAGGCCGAAGGACACCTATTTCCTAGCTCAGTGTCCAACATGAGGACTAGTTCCCATTCATTAAGGAGCCTGGGACATTTGTGGTTGTTTCTTCCTGGTGCGCGTCCTCACTGGTTTTGGTCAGCCACGGGCTGAAGGACACCTATTTCCTAGCTCAGTGTCCAACATGAGGACTAGTTCCCATTCATTAAGAAGCCTGGGACATTTGTGGTTGTTTCTTCCTGGTGCGCGTCCTCACTGGTTTTGGTCAGCCACACACCTCAGCTGACTCTGCCCAAAGGGTCAACCGAGATCAGGAAGGGCGGCTGGTTCCTCTCCTGCACTGTGGAAGCTTCCCTTTGCCTTCGACCCATCCCGCTCACTCGCCTTCCAGGGACCAGTGTCCCCACATTTCTGGGCCCTCAAATGCTACTGCAATACCTACCTGGGCCCCAGAGCCCCCGCCAACTTCTCCCCTCGTCAAAATTTCCTTGTTTGTGTCTTCTTCTGCCAGTGCCCTAATGTATGAGGCAATGCAAGGCACACACCAGGCAATTACCAGTTCACCATTTAATGTACTGTCCAAATGGAGACACTTGAGAATAAAAGGTAGCACTATGTTAATAATAATTATTCCAGGTAACAGGTAGAAACGTTGTGTCCAGGGCAAGTTGGGACAGTGTAAACTATGGTCACAATGAACATATTTCCACAATACACAGTACACACACCCGCTTAAGAAACACTAAAGGAGGAATTTCAGAATGGAGTGGGTTGGTGGAGTAGATAGTTATACGGCTCAGCATGAAGTCCTCCTGGCTTAGAAAGTGCCTGAAAATCTACCACTGGAGGTGGCACTGTGACTCCAGGAATTCCTTAGCATTAGATGAGGCAACTTACAGCCCATTGAAAAACAGTTGGCTTTTAGCTTTCTCATTTTGCACAGAGCCCTGAGGTAAGAGCACCAGGGACAGGTATTTTCTGATGTGACAATTGCCAGAGAAGGGAGGTGCCTGTGGTAGGAGACCCCAGCACAGGGGCTGCTTGAGCCTGAACACAGGCTAGGTTGACTTGACATGTGGCCAAGCTAGGACTGCCAAGCTACACCCTCTTCTAGGATGGAATATGCTCCTCTCCATGGCTCTGTGAGTGT